AAGATTATTTATTCTATACTAGCGGCTCCTGGTACGTTTTAACGGTAAGTATGGAATAGATAAACTATATATTATACTAGCGACTACCCTCGCTTCGCGTGGGTCCGTCCCTAGCTTGCTTTCCCATACAAAGTTTCATCCCCATTCTCACCCTCTTAAGGGATGATTTCCAGGAAAACTTAACAATTCACTCACTTTTCATATCATGAGATTTAAAAAAAATATCTTTGATTTACGCGAATATTTGACATTTTACATAAAATTATCTTTTCAGATTTTTTCGCGAATTTATTTTGATTTTTGGTTCCCGACGTTTCGAATGCTTTGCAGCAATCATTGTCGCGGTCTTTCGAAAGATAGTTTTATTTAAAATATCAGCTATTCGCCGAAATCTAAGAAAATATGACTTTTATTTATTAAAGTAGCGACTCACCCTCGCTCCGCTCGGGTTCACCCCTTCTTACGTATTAACGTTTAGTATAGATTTCTCAGAGATGAGATATTTTCCCGTCATAAAAAGTATCCTATATGTTTACCTGGATAACCAGCTGTCATCATACCAAATTTCGTCAAAATCCCTCCAGTAGTTTTTCTGTGCTGCGGTAACAGACAGACAGATAAAACTTGTAAAAACTATAGATTCTGCCTCTGTATCGATAATAATGTCTATTTCAATAAGATTTTCCAAAAAATATTTAATGTACAGATTCGGCTCAGTTACAAATTAATTACATGTATAGAATAACTTACTGTATGTATCGTTTGCCAAAATATATCCCAAGTCGATGCGGGTGCGCTACAAATATCCACATGAAGTTGGGGCTGATTTTCAGCCTCCCGAGATCATAAAACACAAATTTCTCAGAAACATTAAACGTTTATATTTCAAAAAAAAATGGTTATTATATGTATTTCAAAGATTTTATTCCCCTAAATTAAAAATAAAAAACCAAGAAAAATTAGTAAAAAACGAGTTTTTTGGAAATGTCTCGAAAAATTTGAGGATATTGTGAAAAGTGTCATCTATAAAAGTCGTAGATTTTTACTAGACCTACAACTTTTGTTAAAAATATTATTCGAAAGGGTGTCACAGCAAGCCAGAAATTGGCAGAGAAAGCCAGAAACGTTTTGCATCTCCCCCATTTCTAGGGGGTAGCTGGACATCGGGGGCATTTTACGGATGTTTTTTCCTTATATACCTGCTAACGTTTCAAAACCAATAAAACTTCACGTTTTATTTTTTTGTATAGCGCATATTTATATTAAAGAAATACTTAATCACGAATATAAAAAACTTAATTTGTCTCGAATTAGGTACTTAAAAAATAATTTTGTATTAATCCTTCTTTTCTTAAACTTCAAACTTCTTAAAAAAGTATATTTGGCTTTGATGGGGGGAATAGGGGGGGGTCATGCCCCCCATGAGCCCCACAAGCCCTCCCCTCCCTGCGTCCGCGCTAGAATCGATATCTTTGTATCAGGCATAATTCAGGCAAAATGCACCTGAGCAAAGCGAGGGTACGTCACTAGTCTTTATAATAGGTTAATTATGTCTAAGTTAAAACGTTACTAGAATTATTTTAAGTAAACACAAGTTTCTTGCAAATAATTATTTAAAATATTTACTTTATAAATACTATTTGCGTACTCTATACTACATACTCGTATAAAGTACAAATCTGTTTGCTGATCGAGTGTCAGAATAAAGACATTAAATATTAAATCAATACAAAAAAAAACCATTAAATTTATTATTTACTAGCATTGCCCGCGGCTCCGCCCGCGTTCAGATGACCAAAATCCAAATTCTTAGGTTTTACATATTAGTATACTCTTACAATGCAGTTTTTGTATTTTTTCTCAGAAATGAGATATTTTGCCGCAATAAAAAGTATCCAATTTTTTTAACGTTGGGAAATGCATTTATGCACGAGGTGTGGGACTCACCGTCAAAGTCAGTACTACCCACTAAAACCCAACACAGCCTTCCCCCGTCTTAATGGGGCATGGCAGGATCGCTTACGCATTCAACTACGACGCCCCGACGGCAGGTCTGCCGAGGCAGACCACAACGACCATGGGGTTGCTCCAAGGTCCAGTCTGCTATCAGAGAAGTACCAGGAGCAACCCGCATGGTACACCGCCCTCCGAAGAGGGCCGCCTCCCACCGCCTACCGAAGCGGGCCACCTCCCTGTGCGTTTCTTGGCTTCGCGCCCGGCTGCATTGCCGGGCACTACTGAGCCCCCCCACCACGACAAGGTGAACGCATGTTGGGGGGGAATAAAAAGTAGCCTATATGTTGACCCGGATAACCAGCTACCATCATAATGAATTTCATCAAAATCCCTCCAGTGGTTTTTCCGTGATGCGGTAACAGACAGACAGACAGCCAGACAAAAATTCTAAAAACTATAGATTCGGCCTCTGTATCGATAATAATGTCTATTGCAATAAGATTTTCCAAAAAATATTTAATGTACAGATTCGACTTAGTTAGAATTTTATTATATGTATAGATATAAATACCTCACTGTTTCTCTATCACGCTTCTATTATATAAATTTTTATGTATGTTTGTTATATCTTCACGTTGAAATAGCTGGACTGATTATGATGAAAATTAGTATATACTACTACTACTCGTAAGTAGATAATAAGGAACAACAGTTAGGCATAAAATTTACCGAAAAGTATGCCAAGTATCTTTTCGTAAATATGATACAATAGAAATCTTTTCGATGTAATTTTAATATTATAATTTATAATCAATCAATATATCGCCTTGTTTAATTCTACAGAAGAATTTATTGAATGGAAAAATTGAAATTTGGTAGAAAATAAAATAAGGCGAACAAATGATGTGATTAATTGAGATTTGCTTGCTATGTACCGAATTAAAAAGTTAAAAAAAGTGTTTTACTCAAGCATGTTATAATGATATATGTATGTACGTATATTTCTAGTTTCTTCAAGTTTACTAGATATTTTATTGCCAATTTGTAAGAAATCAACTCATTTCCGTCAGCCCTTTTTAACATCCCACTGCTGGGCACGAGCTTCCCTTCAATGTAAAGGGATAATGCGATAGTCCACGCTGGCCAAGTGCAGGTTTCCTCACGATGTCTTCCTTCATCACGCTGCCCATTCGCATTCACGTTGTTTTACTTCACCGCTAAGACAAGTGGTAATCATGTTGGAAATGATTCGCGAATGAATATATCAGAGTTGCGAGACCCGGGATTTGAACCCGCTTCACTCGGTTCCCCAAGCTAGCGTGTTACCACTAAGCTACCATTGCCTTGGTTCTATAGAAATACATATTTCCACGTATCTGACTAGACTCATTAAGATTCGTCGTTGCAAACTTAATGAATGAATAATAAGATGACATCGATTATAATCGATCATCGATCATCAATCATCAATGGCGGATCCCAATAACCTATCTGTTTTGCTTATTAAGGGCTCACCGAGGCAATTACGATATAATTGGATTCGTTCGATCCCTTGCTGTATTGTTATTAATAAAACTTTAATTATACAATTAATATGTAGAATAATTTTAAGGATTTATTCTATAAATCGTACACTTTAGAAACACGATTACTTGTAGTTAGGTACCTCGATAGAAAAAAATATACAAAATGATCTCTAAAAAACAAAATAAACCCTTAGTGCGGCGTAAATAATCAAGGAAGTTTATTAGTTTTTTAATGTGTATTTGTTTTAATAATACGAAGGAAATACATAAATTCGCACGCGTTCGGGAGGGGGGGAGGGGGGAGGGTGGTAGGTGTGAGGGGGGGGGTTAGGATGCATCCTATCAACCCCTGTATATTGGACTTATACTCGCATTTGGGCCGTTGTACGTTGATATATATATATATATATATATATATATATATATATATAAACTGTATATATATATATATGATAAATGACTAATTCTTTATTATCTATACATATAATAAAATTGTAACTAAGTAAGCCGAATCTGTACTTTAAATATTTTTTGGGAAATCTTATTGATATAGACATTATTATCGATACAGAGGCCGAATGTATAGTTTTTAGAATTTTTGTCTGTCTGTCGTGTGTCTGTTACCCACTGGAGGGATTTTGATGAAATTTGGTATGGTGACAGCTGCAATGTAAGAGTATACTAATATGTAAAACCTAAGAATTTGGTTTTTGGTCACCTGAACGCGGGCGTAGCCGCGGGCAATGCTAGTCTTAATATATATAATTCTTCTGTACGTGTGTTTGTTAACCTACTCCTCCTAAAGGACTGGAAGGATTTGGATGAAATTTTGTGTGTATATTTCAATGGACTCCTGGATGGTTTGAAAACACAATTGGACCCAGAAGGTGGCGCTGCAGTTGGTGTGCCACTAATCATCTCCTAAACGGCAGGGACGATTTTAATGATATTTTTTGTGTATGTTCGAGTGGGTCCCTGCAAGGTTTGAATTCTGGTAGGTGGCAATCGGTGTGTCACTAAATTTTCATAAAAGACTCCATTTTCCGAGCAATAAATAAATTTAAATTATTGATTAATTAAAATTAAAATCGATGTGTGTATGTACATATGTTTCCTATGGACTCCAAAACAGCGGGAGCGATTTTGATGAAATTTTCAGATAATCTTTAGATTAACCCAGTAGGTGATTCTGTGAATTTTGTTAGCGTTTGGAAGTTTGGACGCGGGCGAACTCGCGGGTACTGCTAGTTTATTATAAAAGTATGCTATTGTATATCTCTGTGGTAAACAAATAGAATAACTTAAACAAAATTAAGAAGGAAGGAAATGTTTTCAATTACTTTATAAAACGATTAATACTTTGTGTTTTTTTTTAATCCCTCCACGACCGCGGACACGCCGGCGTTACAGTTATCAATAGATTTCTTAGAAATTAACCTGGAGGTGTTATTATCATACAATCTTATCGTACTTATTTTATATATTATCAGCTCTTTATACTTTATTATCTTCTTGCAGGTCTTCGATCGTCTCAAAGAAGAAGTGCCAAAGTTTAGACACAAAATAGTTGCGATACCAGCAGACTGTGAAGCAGCAGGTTTAGGTCTTACAATTAGTGACCGACAAACACTCTTAGAGAAGGTATGTATTATATTAAAATACAACAACAGCACCACACACCCTCAATAACCTAAAAAAATCTATCCCATAGTAACCGTACATATTTCTAGGATAAAAAATAACCTATGTACTATTCCAGACTATAATCTATCTCTGTGCCAAATTTCACCCAGATCCGTTCAGTCAATCTAGCGTGATTAAACCATCCATCCAAACTTTCGCATTTATAGTACATATTACTCGCGACATTTTAACGTTTAGTATCGTCGATAAAAAATGTACATATTGATCGATGTCTAGTATAGATTTCTTAGAAAAAGTAAAAAGTACCTTTATGTTAACCCAGATAACCAGCTATCATCATACCAAATTTCATCAAAATCTGTCCAGTGGTTTTCTCGTGATGCGGTAACAGACAGACAGACAGACAAAAATTCTAAAAACTATAGATTCGGCCTCTGTTTGATAATAATGACCATTTCAATAATATTATAAATGTGAAAGTCTTTGAGTATGGGTGTTTGTCACTCTTTCACGCCAGAACAGCTTAACGGATTTAGATGAAATTTGGCATAGAAATAGATTATAGTTTGGAATAGCACATGGGCTACTTTTTATCTCGGAAACTGTATGGTTCCCGTGGGATAGATTTGTTTTTGTTTTTCTAGAGGCAAACCCGAGCGAAGCGAGGGTGAGTCGCTCGTATATTATATTTTCTGATTATTTATGACAATAATTGTTAAAGTCAACTTACAAGTAATAAATTACAATAAAAAAGATAAAAAAGTCATAATCTAAAACAACTATTATAATTAAGTTGCTTTTTATAACTTTTTATAGTGTTATAAAATTAAATTGTTCTCATGTAAATTATGTATTATTGTTATATTATAATTTATGTACCTAACTACTTCACCTTATAGGTATTAATTAACAGATAGACGGTTTCATGGAATATGTTTATATCTATACTTATTATAAAAATAAGTCCCCCGGCCGCGTCTTTCTGTCCTCCTGTCTGTCCTCCTGTCTGTCTGTACGCGATAAACTCGAAAACTACTGAACGGATTTTTATACGGTTTTCAACAATAGAAAGAGTAATTCTTGAGGAAGGTTTAGGTATATAATTTATTATGCTTTTATGTAAATTAGCTGAAATACGGCGACAAATGTTGAAGAGGTCGCAAAAAATCTCGCCAAATGGGAACTTTCCACGCGAACGCCGCGTAAACTAGCAAAGATACAGTTAAGTAATGTACTAGAGAATTCAAAATCTATAAAAATGCTACAAAAAAGTCCGCGATAGCATATCTCTATCTCTTACGGTTGACTTACAATAACCACTTTTATGTTAACATTTTTAATTAAAAACATTACGTTATTTTCAAAGTTATTTTCTTTAGTTCGGTATTAATCCTTATCCAAATGAATATTTTAGTTAGCTTAGTCATTTAATGCAGATTAAAATTGCTCTTTACACTAAATCAATCAGATGAATAGTTTTTGAGATATCGTTGTTAGAAGTAATTAGTAGCGAAACATTTTTAATGCTTGGCGAGCATTGAGATGCCTACGGCGAGTCCATCCCCTCTGCCCCGCATCGCTCGACCGCCTGCTCAAGCTATATAAACCGGGCGATGTAGCGCGCGATCCTAGGATACTTTTTACCGCGGGAAAATATCTTATTTCTGAGGAAAAATACAAAAACTGCAATGTAAGAGTATACTAATATGTAACACCTAAGAATTTAGTTTTTGGTCATCTGAACGCGGGCGGAGCCGCGGGCAATGCTAGTATAAATATAATGCTATAAGGAAATAGGTTTTAGTAAAATATGTACGATATATATAAGAGACTAGCGACTCACCCTCGCTTCGCTCGGGTTCGTCCCTGCTCACGTTTTAACGTTTAATATAGATTTCTCAGAAATTAGATATTTTCCCGCAGTAACAAGTATCTTATATGTTGACCCGGATAACCAGCTATCATTATACTAAATTTCATCAAAATCCCTTTAGTGGTTTTTCCGTGATGCGGTAACAGACAGACAGACAAAAATTCTAAAAACTATAGATTCAGCCTCTGTATCGATAGCATTGTATGTCTATTTGAATAAGATTTTCTAAAAAATATTTAATGTACATCTTTTTGCATGATGCCTGCTGTGCATCTTTTTTTGTTATATACATATTTCATTTCTTTATTTAGACCCAGTTAATTTGTAAGAAGAAAGATTTTTTTTATTACATAAGATATTCGATTAAGCCTAAATGGCTAATAAACCATTTTCGACCCATGAAAAATAAATTAAAAAATAAAATCAAATATAAATAATATTAATATATATATAATATTCTTAATATAGATTTAAGAAAATTTCATTGTTTATACCAACAGGTATATATATATATATATATATATATATATATCTTAGAAATAAAGGTTTGTTTTTAAAATAGAGGAAAAAAATCTCTACTGTAAAGTAACAACAAGTATTGCTAGTTTGAACAAATAAGCACTGAGGCGACGTACTGTCAAGTTTAATCTATACAAATATATAAACATTGTAGTTTGTTTATTAAAGTCTGTTTGTAATATGTTTTTTTTTTATTAAAAAGCAATATGAAAGTATATGCGGTTCTTAAAAGAAAAAAAAAGTATTTTAAAAATTTTTGTCCGTCTGTTTGTTTTGGCCAATCTTCGGAACGGTTGGATCGATTTTGACGGAATTTTCACTGGCAGATAGCTGATATTATAGGGAGTAACTTTTATCATAGAAATGATATATTTAATTGTAAGTAGAAAAAGAATTACGGTTTTGCGCAAAAAAATCCATGAAATTGTAAACAAATAGACTCAACATAACGATCTCTTTAACCATGATAGTTAATTAAAATATGAAGTTTTAAGCATGTGTGTTTATGTTTCAGGTTCATGTAATATTCCATTCAGCAGCGACAGTGAAGTTCGACGAGCACTTACGCGCAGCGTTGGTCATCAATGTGAAGGCGCCTTTATATCTATTGCAGCTGGCTAAAGATATGAAAGGATTGAAAGTAAGATGGGCAATATAGTTTATATGAATAGGGAACTCGTTTAAAGATATAAATTAATTGGAATTTTCGCTCGGATACGTCGTTGGGTGCCTAATAGTATCCATACAATAAAATTGAAGTGTCTGGTTGAATTTATAATCCAATACCTACATATAATGAAATTGTAACTAAACCAAATCTGTACATTAAATATTTTTTGGATAATCTTATTGAAATAAACATTATTATCGATACAGAGGCCGAATCTATAGTTTTTAGAATTTTTGTCTGTCTGTCTGTTACCGCATTACAGAAAAACTACTGGAGGGATATTGATGAAATTTTGTATGGTGATAGCTGGTTATCTGGGTCAACGTATAGAATACTTTTTATCGCGGGAAAATGTCTCATTTCTGAGAAAAAATATACTGCAATGTAAGAGTATACTAGTATGTAAAACCTAAGAATTTGGTTTTTGGTCATCTGAACGCGGGCGGAGCCGCGGGCAATGCTAGTACGCTATAAAAACACATACACATATGATTCAATCGGTTTAAAAATAAATATCTCGTCCTATCCCAGGAAAAAAGATATTTATTATCCTCTGATTCAATTACACAATTACAATTTCCATTTAATAACTTTTTAGTATTTTTGTATGTGTTAAGCACTGCCTCGGAGGTCCAGGGTTCGAGTCCCGGGTCGGGCCAAGTTTAGTTTTTGAGCCTTTCTGTATATTAAACCTCAGTAACAGCCCGGAGTTGGGAAGTTGGCGGTGTTTCGCCCCCGTGCCTCGGAGAGCACGTGAAGCCGTCGGTCCTGCGCCTTAACTCTCACTGGTCGTGTCGTATGGCCGTCCCACCGGAGTATGAGAGTGACAGGAATAGAGAGTGCACGTTGTGTCTGCGCGTACACTTGTGCACTATAATATCTCCTGCGCAGTTGGCTAGTCTCAATGAGATTGGCCGCCGTGGCCGGAATCGGTCAGGAGAACATCATCATCATCATCATGTGTTAAGCAACCCTAAAGTATGGGGATCATCGAGCTCGCACCGACCACCAACATCGCATCCCGCCTAACTTACGTGTTGCAACAGTATTATGACATCGGACCATACATTTAATGTTTAAGACTTATAATTATAATAATTCATTCATTGATCAAACCTTGATCACCTTTAGGATAATTAGTTTGTTAAAGTATTGGAAGTATCTAAGATTTAGTATCTATACTAATATTATAAAAAGGCAGAGTTTGTTTGTTTGTTTGTTTGTTTGTTTGTTTGAACGCGCTAATCTCAGAAACTATTAATCCGATTTGAAAAATTCTTTTCGCATTAGATAGCCCGTTTATTGAGGAAGACTAAGCTAATATATCATATAATATATAATCTATCTATTCCATACTAACCTCTAAAACGTACCTAGAGACGAATCCGAGCGAAGCAAGGGTGAGTCGCTACTAAAGTATTTTAAAAGATAAAGTAACATTTCTTTAGCATTCTCTGACTGTGTCTTCTAAAATTTATTTAATGTATTTTGTTTATTTCTTTGATAACGAATAATTTAGAATATTTAGAATTATTATTGTTAATATAATACAGGTAATATTTTATTTTCCAGGTATTCATGCATATATCAACCGCATATTCAAATTGCCATCTATCCCACATAGAAGAAAAGTTCTATCCGTGTCAAACGGATAGTGAAAAGTTACACAATATAGTGGATAAGTTGACGGATGACGAAATAAATGACATCTTGCCCACGTAAGTGTTAGAGATATGATTGATACATCTTTAATATTACATAAAATTAGTTTTAAATCCATACAAATATATGTAATAAATGAGAAAGTTACTGTGTCTGTTACGTTGTTACGTTTGTTACGTTTTATCGCCTAAACCGCTTTAAAAATTATGATAAACTTTGGTATAGAGATAGATAGAGAATTGGAGATAAACAAGCTATTGTCGCAAAAACATCCGACCGTTGTAAGCCACGGCGGCCAATCTCACTGAGACTAGCCAACTGCTGGAGGTATCATAGAGAGCAAGTGTACGCGCAGACACAACGTGCACTCTCCATTCTTGTCACTCTCACCCCGATGGAACAACCAGTGAGAAATCAGGCAGGGCCGACGGCTTTACTTTCGAACGCACAGGGTTGAAACACCGCCAACTTTCCACCTCCGGGTTATTACGGAGAATTTCTTAACAAAAAGACTCAATAACTAAATTTGGCCCGAACCGGGAATCGCACCCTGGATCTCCGGATCTGCAGCCGCACATGCTAGCCACTATACCAATGAAGCTTCTTGTCTTCATTTGTTGTGTCGTTTGTTTTAATAGTTTATACCAGCTATACTCAACCTGCGGGCCGCATGCGGCAGCATCAAAAATCGCATTATAACATATCTTTGTTAAAAAAGTAACTACATCGTTAACTTGGAATTACGTTTTCATTAAGACCTAAATAATTTTTGCTTGCGGCCCTCGACACCATGACTGAAACGTGTTTGTGGCTCCTATAAAAAAAAGGTTGAGTATGGCTGGTTTATACTAACACCTAAAACTGAATAGATCGTTTTTTGTTTGTTTATAATAGGTGCTAATATATTATGTATACTTAATTATCATAATTGTTGTGGATGTTTTTTAGTCTTGTATATAGTGATAAACCTTTAGAGAAGAATACGAAATAATCTTAAATTAACACATACAGATTGTTGAAAATAAGATTTTTGCAGACATTAACTTACATAGAGTGTGTTTATTAAGCACTAGCGGCTTACCCTCGCTTCGCTCGGATTTGCTTCTAGGAAAAGAAAATCAAACCTATCCCACGGGAACCATACATTTTTCCGGGATAAAAAGTAGCCTATGTATTATACCAGACCATAATCTATCTCTGTGTCAAATTTCATCCAAATCCGTTCAGCCGTTCTGGCGTGAAAGAGTAACAAACATCCATACTCACAAAATTTCACATTTATAATATTTATTATAATATATTATATACAGATTCAATTTTATTTACCCCTTTTTCCAGCATTTTAGGCGAATGGCCGAACACATATACTTTCACGAAAGCGTTAGCTGAGAAAGAGTTAAGATTGAACAGCAGAAATGTACCACTTGCAATATTTAGACCTGCTATAGGCAAGTATTTACAAACTTATATACATAATTAAGTTTTTTTATATATACATAATTAATTTTATTACCTTACTAGCATTGCCCGCGGCTCCGCCCGCGTTCAGATGACCAAAAACTAAATTCTTAGGTGTTACATATTAGTATACTCTTACATTGCAGTTTTTGTATTTTTCCTCAGAAATAAGATATTTTCCCGCGGTAAAAAGTATCCTAGGATCGCGCGCTACATCGCCCGGTTTATATAGCTTGAGCAGGCGGTCGAGCGATGCGGGGCAGAGGGGATGGACTCGCCGTAGGCATCTCAATGCTCGCCAAGCATTAAAAATGTTTCGCTACTAATTACTTCTAACAACGATATCTCAAAAACTATTCATCCGATTGATTTAGTGTAAAGAGCAATTTTAATCTGCATTAAATGACTAAGCTAACTAAAATATTCATTTGGATAAGGATTAATACCGAACTAAAGAAAATAACTTTGAAAATAACGTAATGTTTTTAATTAAAAATGTTAACATAAAAGTGGTTATTGTAAGTCAACCGTAAGAGATAGAGATATGCTATCGCGGACTTTTTTGTAGCATTTTTATAGATTTTGAATTCTCTAGTACATTACTTAACTGTATCTTTGCTAGTTTACGCGGCGTTCGCGTGGAAAGTTCCCATTTGGCGAGATTTTTTGCGACCTCTTCAACATTTGTCGCCGTATTTCAGCTAATTTACATAAAAGCATAATAAATTATATACCTAAACCTTCCTCAAGAATTACTCTTTCTATTGTTGAAAACCGTATAAAAATCCGTTCAGTAGTTTTCGAGTTTATCGCGTACAGACAGACAGGAGGACAGACAGGAGGACAGAAAGACGCGGCCGGGGGACTTATTTTTATAATAAGTATAGATGATATATGAACAGAATAACTAACAAACTTTTTTGATTGAGTTCAAAATGGAGAATATATTACGATACGAATACCGTATCTATGTTTTTTGTGCACCGCATACCAACAATGTTACATAAAATTATCTATATATAATAAAATTGTAACTAAGTCGAATCTGTACATTAAATATTTTTTGGAAAATCTTATTGAAATAGACATTATTATCGATACAGAGGCCGAATCTACAGTTTTTAGAATTTTTGTCTGTCTGTCTGTTACCGCATCGCAGAAAAATCTCTGGAGGGATTTTAATGAAATTTGGTTTGGTGATAGCTGGTTATCCGGGTTAACAATAGGATACTTTTTACTGCCGTAAAATATCCCATTTCTGAGAAAAAATACAAAAACGGCAATGTAAGAGTATACTAATATGTAAAACCTAAGAATATGGTTTTTGGTCATCTGAACGCGGGCGGAGCCGCGGGCAACGCTAGTTATATTATTATAACAATAATATTGTAAACGTACCTTAATATAGGTCTTAATTTTTTTTTATTAATATATCTAAACCTATTAATATACTTTTACATATTTCAGTGACGTCCACAGTAAAAGAACCCCTAAAGTGTTGGTTGGACAACATGTACGGACCTACCGGCGTGGCTGTGGGCACTGGTGAGTGATACTAACTGCCTTACTAATATCAAAATCTACTAATCCATACAGTGGAAATCGTTTGAGACACAGGTGATGCTGTCATACTTATTTATTTTCATACTAGCGATTAGGTATGCTTTAATTTTTTTGAGCGGAACCCTAATTCTTTTTCTAAAATAAAAGTTGCCTATGTTACTCCCTATAACATCAGCTATCTTCCAATGAAAGCCCCGTCAAAATCAGTCCAGCCGTTTCAGAGATTATCCGGAACAAACAGACAGACAGACCGACAGACAAATATTTGAAAAAATGTGTTTTTCTTATAAGTACCGTATATAATTTTATATACATTTAGTAAAACGCTGTTATTTTGACATTATAAACAGACAGAAACAGCTTAGGGTTGACGGTCACTATAACTTACCACGAGAAGTACTTTTCGTGTTTGTTTGTATAGGTACATAACATCCTATTAGGTGGTATATAATTTTGCAAACGGTTATATACATACTATCTACATACATTATACCTTGAAGGTTCCATATTTTCAAGTATAATATAATTATAAAATAAAAAAAAAACCCTACGCAAATAAATTGTCGTTTAACGATAACACTGGCACGCGTGAAGCACTTAATCGAGTAATCATACGCCAAAATGCCTTACATAATTTTAGAAAAGAGCTGATACTCTTACACTGCTGGATCGATATTAACCAAACATAGCTAAGAACCACCGCAAGGAAATTGGCTTTCAAATGAAAAAAACCGCATCGAAATCGGTCCATCCGTTTGAGAGCTACGATGCCACACACAGACATCGACGTCAAATATAACAACCCTTCTTTTTGCGTCGGTGGTTAATAAAATCCACCTCCAATTTAAAGTATATTTGAGGGGTCATTTTTTGGTTAGAAAGTCATTTATAAGGATGATATAAACATGTTTTATTACAGCAACTTGCCCCCACTTTGCTCGGGTGCGTCCTTAGGTTTCTTTTGTGCCATACATTTGATTGCTTTATTTTAAACCGCTTAAGATATTTTTTTCAATTTCCATCATATTTATAATGATCTTTATTAGTAAATACATGAAATAAAAAAAACCTACCTAAAAAAAGTGGTAAAAGCACAATGTAAAAGGCAATGTAGCTTCCAATTAGTCAAATAATTTTTCAGAATCGGATCAGTGGTTTTACAGATTACCCCCTACATACATACAAACATACAAACTTTACCTCTTTATAATATTTACTGATTAATTCTCAATACAAACTTTCATCCCCATTTTCACAATTTTAAGGAATGATTTGCGGGATAAAAAGTATCCTATGTCCTTCCCACGGTCCCAAACTATCTTCTTACCAAATGTCATCTAAATCGGCTCAGTAGAGCCAGAGATTACCCCCTACTACATCACAAACTCACAATCTCACAAACTTTACCTCTTTATAATATTAAGTATAGATATCGATTTATATATCTTTCTGGTATCTTAAATTGTATACAGTCTTATATATTTACAGTGACCGGAATGCTTCGGACGGTGCAATGCGATGGGTCGGTGACAGCTGACCTGGTCCCCGTCGACTCCGTAGTGAACTGCCTCATGGTTGCTGCCAACAACGTCTGCAAACAGTACCAGGAAAGGTAACCTATCTAACTACTTATATATACGAAAGTTTGTGTGTATGTATGTTTGTAAATCCAACATTGAAACGGCTGGACTTATTTGGATGGAATTTAGAATACAGATAAGTTATGAGCTGGAGTAATATCTAGGATATAAGGCACCTATAGACGTTGTTAGTGTATTATAAATTAAACTTGCGTTTGTATTTTTTGGGCTAATCTCAAAAATTACTGTACGGATTTGGATATGGTTTTTACCTATGGAAAAAAGTATTATCTAAGAATTCTATAGGGACTATATACTATACTAGCAATACCCGCGGCTTCGCCTGCGTTCAAAGTACTAAAAAAAAGTATATATGAATAAGTGATAATAATTTGATGACACAGCCGGATCCAATTATATTTTCAAACTATCCAGAAACCCATTGAAATATACACACAAAATTTCATCCAAATCGGTCCAGCCGTTTATAAGGAGTTAAGTGACAAACACACGTACAGAAGAATTATATATATTAAGATATGTACCGATGTACATATGTATATATTGTCACTATAGGCCAAGACATAGTCGACCTCTGTACTATATTTCATCAAAACCCGCACAGCCGTATTAGCATGAAATAGTAACAGACATACATACAAACTTTCGCATTTGTTAGATGGAAAGTAGATTTAAAGATTAATTTGAATTAACTAACCACTACATACTATATATTTTTCCAGAACAGTAACTGAACCCCCTATCTTCAACTACGTGAGCTCAGTGGAGAACAGAATCACGTGGGGCGATTTCACCAGACTCAATATGGAGAGGATCGATAAGCATCCGTTCTCTAACGCTGTTTGGTAAAAAGCGTTTTGTTCTGTCTGTAATCAAATTTTATAAGTTACATTAGACCCACTTCCCAGTGTCCGATTGAGCTGAAATTTGGCACACACGTGTGGTTCTAGTGACTGCACGATTACCTAAATGCCGCCATTTTTAATACAATATGGCGGACCTTACAAAATGGCGATTTATCATTTGCATAGTGAATCTTGGGCATCAAATGAAAGGACTTGATGAGCTAAGCAAAGTGACGTCATTGTAAATCCAATATGGTGGACTATATTTTTTTATGCACCCCCATGATACGCATATCAAATGAAAGAGTTTGCTGACAAGAATACAAATAAAATAAAAACTAAAAAAAAAGAAAAGGAAAAAGAATTAATAAACTAAAAAAACAAATACGTATAACTTCTTACGTGCGTACTTAAATACACACACTTTTTTTATATGCCCATTTTATTATTAGGTACACACATGTATATATATATACATAGCAGACATTACAGCTTTGTTTATTATATATATTTTCCTTAACAGGTACGCGTCGGTGACATTGAACAAATCAACGTTAATGAATCAAATCTATATATTTTTCCTGCACTTACTTCCCGCCGCCTTAGTCGACGCCCTTGCGGTTTGTGTTGGCAAGAAACCTAAGTGAGTAAATTTACTTAACTATTACAGTTACTTATGAAATACGAGCAAAATCCTCTAGCTACACTTAAGTTTGTCCCTAACCTTTTTTTTAACGTTTGGAAATGCATTTACGCACGAGGTGTGGGACTCACCGACAAAGCCAGTACTACCCACTAAAACCCAACAAAACCTTCCCCCGTCTTAATGGGGCGTCGCAGGATCGCTTACGCATTCAACTACAACGCCCCGACGGCAGGTCTGCCAAAGCAGACCACAACAACCACGGGGTTGCTCCAAGGTACACTCTGCTATCATATAAGTACCGGGAGCAACCCGCATGGTACACCGCCCACCGAAGACGGCCACCTCCCACCACCCACCGAAGTGGGCCACCTCCCTGTGCATTTCTTGGTTTCGCGCTCGGCTAAATTGCCGGGCACTACTGAGACCCCCCCCCCACGACAAGGTGAACGCATGTTGGGGGGGGGAGGGTGTCCCTAACCTAACCTAACAGTAGTCGATGTGTTACTCCAGGTCATAGAATATCTGTGTTATAAATTTCAACAAAATACGACCGACCAGCCGTCTCAGCGTGACAAACATCCACACTTATCAACACTCATGCAATCAGTGCCGGATTCAATCTTACCGCCGCCCTGGACTTAGTAAAAAATGCCGCCCAATTACCGAAATTTTGCATATAATGGGAAAAGTTTCGATAAACTCGTAGTTTTTTTTTTAATTTTAATTATTTTTTTGAAAAATGCATACAATCTTTCGCCGTTATAACAGCAGTAAGCCAGACGTGATATTACATCAGCTGTAATAAGAGTTTCTGGAAGAAATCTCAGAGAGATAAATTATTATCCTTTGTCTACATGTTGTTCCTTTATTTGTTAGATATACAATACACATTATATGCATATAATACCACATACCTACATATATTTGCTTTGCAATGTCAGCCTCCTCGTGCTCCTTGGTTTAATTTGGTTGCCATTTTTTTGAGGTCCAGTTTATGTAATTACCTATTTAGCTTAGACAGGCTGCAAATTGTAAGATCTTTTTCTATCAGAAAATTTCGGAAATCCGCCGCAGAAACTTCTCTAACAATGTTGTGAGTGAGTTTATGTTCGCGGCGTTCGCTCGACAACTGATGCGAATTTCTGATAAGTGTACGGGGTCTAGTACAAAATGTATAGAGAGCGCCCTCAGACGCTCTGATCAGAAAAAAATCTGACGTCCAATGGGCGGCATCTGAGACTTATCAGAAGCGTACGTCAGACACGTCAGAATTCTGATAGTATGCGGTGTCTAGACCAAAATATACGAGCAAAGTGCCTTCCGGCGGGCGTCAGACATTTTCTGACAAAAAAATCTTATAATATATGGCCGGACTAAGGTATGACAGAACAGGCATTTGCTTAAACTAAACCCCTTAAAAATAAATTCATAAATATAATATTCTTTTTACAGAATGTTAAAAGTGTACAGGAAGATACACAAATTTTCCGCCGTCTTGATGTACTTTTGCACGCGCGAGCTCAAATTTAGCAATCAACATACGAGGGATTTGTGGGAGAACACATCAGATTCCGATAAGCAGGTACTAATTGTTGTATATTTTTTCAACCTTTTTTAACGTCCCACTGATGGAAGTGGGCCTCCCTTCAATACGAGGGGGATCAGGCCAAAGTCCACCACACTGGCTGAGTGCGAGTTGGTTGTGAGTTCGAATTCTGCGTGATACTTTATATTAACCATAAAAATTGTAACGTGCTGAAGCCTGCTAATAATAGTCTAACTCTAAGATCCGAAATTAGATCATCCTTCACGCATCTGCTTATCGACGGAAGATCTTTTAGTATTTTATATTAAACATAATATATCGCAGATTAGCGACCCTCCTTAGGTAAGTAATAGCATTTGGGCTACTCCAGTTCATAGCCTATCTGAGTACTAAATTTCATCCAAATCCGTTCAGCCGTTTTAGCGTGAAGGAGTAACAAACATACACACATACAAACATATATAGTACTATTTAATATGTATAATATTTTCCAGATATTCCCATTCAGTATGGCAGAGGTGGACTGGAACGACTACTTCGATTCGTACCTCGCGGGTATACGCCGCTATCTGTTCAAGGAAGGCGACGAAACTCTACCACAAGCCAGGATCAAATGGAAAAGGTAAAACAAATTTGTATTCAGCCCTTTTAAACGTCCCACTGCTGGGGGTGGGCCGGGCCTCCTTTCAATAAGAGAGGAATCAAGCCATAGCCCATAGCTAAATTCGAGCGAACTGGTCATATCTTTCGAAAACTTGCTAGGTTTTCTCAGACAAGCAGGTTTCTTCACGATGTTTTCCTTCACCGTAAGACAAGTGGTAATCATGTTGGAAGCGATTTGCAGATATTACAGACCCGGGATTAGAACCCGTGAACAAGCGAGCGTGATACCACTAGGCTTCCATTGCCTGGTACTGATACAGGGAAAAATAAAATAGTAATAGAGTATTCAAATATTTTCGACAAAACTAATATGTCGGAATGAACTGATCTGTATGTTTATTCAAATTTTTTATTGTATTGTAATTTGTAAACCTTATTTGGTCTGTCATGAACATTTAAGAAAAAAATTTGTCAAATCGATTCAACTATCTTTATTCTGGACTTAACTCAAATCAGTTACAGCGTGAGCCGTAAAGAAGTAACAAACAAACAAACACACTATGAAACTTACATAATTATAATTGTAATCTTATTTTTTTGTTTCAGGTTGTACTATCTGCACCAGATAGTGAGGATCCTTTTCATCCTACTCATAGTTTATCTGTCCTGGACCGTCTTTACTTGCATATTTTAAAGTAGGTTCTAGAGCGTTATAACTTCCATATATGGGCATTTCATGTTACAATTTCAATGTTAAAACGGGTAATTCTTAAAATTACTAATTTTACATATGGCTATTAGTACCAACTTATTTTATTTTTCTATACAAATGGACAGTTTGATTTTCTTTTAATTTTTATTAAATATGCAGTTTAAGAGTGTTATATTTATGGAATATCTAATTAGTAAAATATAATATTGTAGAGAAAGGAAAATAATATGTATGATTATATGTAGGTACCAGTGGCGTAACTAGTTTTTTTGGGTCCTATGTAAAAAAAAAATAAAGTCCACTTTGCCTATTATGAAAATGAATGTGATGCCGAGCGTTGAACGAGAATTCGGCTAGCGGGCAGTATACACCTGAAAGCTAGGTTTTAATATTATAAATATCCTATGTAGTCCTCGAAAAAAAGTTTTAAAATAAAAAAATCGTTCGTTTTCCGCTGGGGCCCCTTTGAATCAGGGGCCCCATGCGACCACATTGTTAGCATTGCCATAGCTAAGCCACTGGTACCTACATATAATATTTTCAAAACATGTTAGTTGTTAAGGGAAAATTCAGTATTTATTGAAATATTGTATCCGTCCTTTTTCATATCATCACATTTGAAATCTGAGTGGCACTGACTACTATATAGCTAGTCGCGAGTTCGATTTCTACCCAAGTTTAATATTATCATCGCATCGACAACTTTAGTGATCATCTAAATTACGTTTAATAATAATAAATATAAAAAAAGCAGGCTGATATTCACTTATGTAACAATATCCAATGCTATTTGCATTGATATACAAAAACTCGAAATACACAATGAGTCAAAGGTGTCCTCAAAAAGAAGTGCACAAGTAAAAAATGGAAAAAATCTCTTTTGTTCATTGCTTTTCGTATGACAAAATTAAAACGCAAGTTGTTTCGTTTAAAAAAGTACTTTATGTGGTGTGCGTAAGTTAGAATTTGTGTTTAGACAATTTGGTTCGACTTAACGTCACATGTCGACGCCACTATTTGAAGAGATATTTGTTAGGAAATGTGTATATATGTTTTTATATATCAATGTTTTTTGACGTAGTTCGTTGTAGACTAAGCTCAGTCACCAAAGTTAGCTAATAACATGATTTGGTCTAGACTAGATGCACTACACCAGGGTTATTGAAATTACATAAACATAATTAATTAATAATTCAAAGAAATAAGTTCTCTAAAAAGACACCTGGTTTTAGCTCTGAAAAGCTCATTAATTTTCAATCTATACATATAATAAAATTCTAAGTGAGTTGAATCTGTACATTAAATATTTTTTGGAATATCTTATTGATATAGTCATTATTATAGCTATAGAAGCCGAATCTATAGTTTTTTGAATTTTTGTCTGTCTGTCTGTTACCGCATCACGAGAAAACCACTGGACAGATTTTGATGAAATTTTGTGTGATAATAGCTATCCGGATAGGACATCCGGGTCAACATATAGGATACTTCTTACTGCGGGATAATATCTCATTTCTGAGAAATCTATACTAAACGTTAAAACCTAAGTAGGGACAAACCCGAGCGGAGCGATTGTGAGTCGCTAGTTAACAATAAAATTAGATTTTTAGTTGCTTTGAAATCCATAAATAGTTGGACAATTGAGTTGACAAATAAGATCGCTATCGCCCAGACATAAGAGTATGGACTGAGCAATACTCTCATGAAATCGACCACTCTCTAGAAAGAGATAAAGCGAATGTGCGGCCAATATCTATCTTTATTTCAATTTGAATCTATAAACGGAGTGTAAAAAAATTACAATGTTATAATTTATTATAAATTACAATATTATAATGGAATTAAAATTGTTATAAATGTATCTTCATTAATCGTATTTCAACTAATACAGAAGATTTCTGGCCGCACATTCGTTTTGTCTCTGTCGCGCCTTTACGTCGTTTTAAGCTGACAGCTGTCAAACAAACACTCAGTTCACCCTCTATATATGATAATGTGAGCGTATATCAATTGATTGGTGATGTGTCCCAATAAATAAAAGCTTTTTTTACTAATGATATGGTTGTAAAAGTTATTGTATATAAATATTTGCTACAACTTAGATGAAATTTTAGACTTTTATTGAAATTTTTAAAGTATTTCACGGCTTTATAAATTAACTATAGAAATATTCCACATACGATTAAGTATACGAAAATTATTGTCAAATGAATTGATCAGTTTTGGTGTCTCATGATAAGTTAAAAATTTTAAAAGCAAACTAAAAATATGATATAAAATTATGTTTTATCACTGAAATCCTTAGAAATTTACAAATTTTATTTATGATTTGCCTCAATAATATGAATGAAGCTCATCTGGTATTTTTTAACAGGTTCGATTCCAAGTTGACGTAAGGTTTACTGTAAAAAAAAAACATTGTACCTTTATATCTTTAACACCCAATATTTTTTGTCACAAACAAAACGTTATCTCTTTATTTTAAATATAGTAAAGTAGATTTGCTCAAAGATATTGAATTCGCAAATATCATATTTATCGTTTTTATTTTAAGATTAGAAATTAAAACATACGTTGAATGTACAGGTTTAGTGTAAGGTGTAAATTGTATACTTTTACTTATATATAATATAAATAAAATGGGTTCAATTATTACTGTATTTTGTTTTACTTATATTACATCACATAACTAAGTGCAGAGGCCTCATCTCATACAAAGAAATTGGGCAGCGCTATTCGGGCTATTTTTGTTTGCTTGAATAAATATTAGATATCGTTGATTCGCATATAGTTACTGTTTAATTAATAAGTATGTGCGTAACGTTTGGTAAATATTGTAAAATTCATCCTGCATTCGAATAAAGATATCTGTGATTTTAAACATTTTTAACCATGATAAATCTATACATATAATAAAATTGTAACTAAGCCGAATCTGTACATTTATGGAAAATATTTTTGAAATAAACATTATTATCGATACAGAGGCCGAATGTACAGTTTTTAGAATTTTTGTCTGTGTCTTTTACTGCATCACAAAAAAACCACTGGAGCGATTTTCATGAAATTTGGTATGATGATAGCTGGGTATCCGGGTCAACATATAGGATACTTTTTACCGCGGAAAAATACCTCATTTCTAAGAAAAAATACAAAAACTGCAATGTAACAGTATACTAATATGTAAAACCTAAGAATTTGGTTTTTGGTGATCTTCGACGCGTGCGAAGCCACGGGCAATGCTAGTAAATTCATAAAAAGTGACAGCGCCACCTGTGAATGTACACTACAAACCCATCATCTGATTGCTGATATTTCAATAATCAGTAAAATTGCACAAATTGGGTTTACGCACGCTTTAATTCTTTTCCCTTCACTTATATATATATATATATATATATATATATATATATATATATATATATTATTTATCTTTTGTTAATTTAACACAACTTCAATAACAAATCGATACATGCAACGTCATCTATTGACATTTATATGAACTAATTTTTCTTTGTTCGTGATGAGACCCATGCTTATTGCTTGTTTGCTTAAATATACGATAGATGTCGTTGATTCAAAAACTCAATATATTCTAGTTTGTAAATATGTGTATATTAAAATCTGCTGAATATTGCCATATTCGTCGTACATTTAAAGAAATTTAAGTGTCTGTTTTTAACCGTGGTAAAACTTCATAAAATTTAAAAAGTATAGTCAAGTTTAGTTATTGGGTCTTTCTGTTAAGAATATCTCAGTAACAGCCCGGACGGAGTTGGTAGCCATCATGTCCAAGTATCGTTCCACCGGAGTAAGAGAGTGAGAGGAGTAGAGAGTGCACGTTGTATCTGCATTATAGTGTATATCTCCTGCAGCTGGCTAGTCTCAGTGAGAATACCGATGATTATTAATAAATTTGTGGAATTTATAGTGGACTTAGTATGAAATAAAACAAACAGAATTTTATAAAAAACCTTTATTACAACAAAAATCGCTAAAAACATTGGATATCGCAAATTATACATACAATGAATATCATACATACATACATATATCGCAAATGAGCATTTAATTGGAATATTTCGCTAAAATAATATTTCATTATCACAAATCACAAAATGTCACTTTTCTTTCAAACGCTGTAAGTTTGTGACAATATAAATTCTAAAATATTGAAATTTTATTTAAAAAGAATAAGAAATGCAGCCACGAGGACTGCAGACAGAAGTAAAAACTTAAAACTATAAACAAACAGTTGTTATTTTTGGATATTCAAATTAATTGTTTGATCTTAAATTAAAATTTGTAAATTAAAACTGTTTACAATTTCTCTGGTTGTGAAATCTATCGGCACTCTGAGTGTTAGCGTGAACACGTCACGTGACCATGTCGATGACGACTTACATGAATTTACACCACAGCCAAACAAACATGTCTATAGAAGTTTTCACTTAAAAAAAACACACAAGACTGAACTATTTGAAAACTACTGACGAGAATAAAAGAAGCCATTTACTTAAAAAATGACAAATATATATATAAAAAAAATGGATGGAATAAACAGTCAAATCACTAAACGCTAAACTTAATATAATTATACATTAAAAAAAATGGAATTACACTGGATCTTTTAAAAAAAATATACCTATATAAATTTAATTCAATCGTGGATAGTAAAAAACCACTAAATGGTTATAAAAAGTACATTAACATTATAAAAATTATTGCTTTATTCTTTATCAAAACAAAATGTTATAAGTCAAATTAAAAAAAATATATAGAAAAAAAAACTTTGTATCCACGAAATATCTTAAAAAATCATATAGTCTATGAGACAAATGACAATATAGGTACTACTTCCAAACTAATACCTTTAAAGCATTTATTCACCCCTAGCTTCTGATCTATATAATATGAATAAGCTATAAAACTGCACTTAATATTACAAAAAAGCTTGGTAATCATTATGGAAACTGTGTGTATATCTCTCACTAGGAGATTCATGGGGCAGTGTTTAAATATAGGACTTCCTGCGCAAAAATGGTCTACATATGTATATTAATATGATAAAGAGATAAAGTTTGTGTATATGTTTGTTTGTATGTTGTAGGAGGTAACACTGAAACTACTGATACGATTTTAAAAATTCTTATATATCATAATAATTAATTGCAGTAGTAAAATTTTCTATCTTCTTCCTTCTGCCCCATTCTCCAAATAAAATTGGGAATGGGGCAGAAGGAAGAAAAAATAAATTACTATATTCTTTCTCCAATTAAAAATGGGAACGGGACAGAAGGAAGAAATAAAAGTTCTGATTAAAACCGTTTCGGTTTTAAATAAAGCAATTGTGTAGAATAAGTAATATATACAAACGACAATTTTACAAATTAGGCCATTTTTGCACCGACGGCTTCATATACATATATATAAAGGTACAGGTACGTCTATATAGATTTGTAAACACACGAACTGACAAAATTATTATTAATTAATATTAATAATAATGATTTCTTTCTTTTCATCCTTTGCACCAGACGAAGCTTTGTTATTATTTATATATTTTATACCAGATTTATTGTCTTTATTGGATATTGTAATAAAATATTATAATTATTCCATTAAAATAATTCATTAAATAAATTACATAAATAATTGATAATAAATTAAAAAAAAAACTTAAATCCGTAAATATTTACTATAATCTGTATTTTATTTTTTTTAATTCATTTTCTTCGTCTGGACAAAGACTTACAACTATACAGCTGGCAATATATAAAAATATCAAAAAGTACACACACGGGATATTCTTTAAGGAATTGTCGTTTATAAAATCCTAAAACCTATATATCTAAAGTAGAAAAGTCCAAAATACTAACTTCTTTCTATATACGGCCGACATTTTATTGTGTCATATTGTATAGTATTTTTTTTTCAAATTCATACATTCATTCAGTCATTCATTCATTCAGTCGAGAAAAATTTCATTTAAACTGAAGGGGGCTTAATAATTGAAAATCTGAAGTCAACTTTAAATTATTCTTCCACTCCTTTTGAAGGGTCCCATTTAGCCCGCTGAAAAAATCTCATAAATATTTCTTATCTGAACGTCTTATTTTTATGTTTAATAAAAATAAATGATGATTTCTTAGATTTACGCGAATGTTTGACATTATTAAATAAAACTATCTTTTCGGATTATTTCGCGGATTTATTTTGATTTTTGGTTCCCGAACCAGGCTTGGAACCAAGAATCAAAATAAATCCGCGAAATAATCCGAAAAGATAGTTTTATTTAATAAAAAAAAAAAAATAGTTCAAAAAATCGTAGCATAAATCTCATTGAGGTGGAGGAAGGAAGACCCGATCAAATCTCACTCACCAAATGCGAGTCTAAGTTGAAAAAAAAAGCTCACAAAATAATGGATGCCCCTTTATATATTTTTTGTAAATAATTATAATATAGTAAACTAAGTTAAATAAAGTGCTGTTACAATAAACAATACAATAAAACGCCGCCATTTTAATTTACAGAGTATAAAAAACGTCTCTCGACAATATATAAAATCTAAACTAGCTTTATTTGTACGTAGTTTGTATTAAGATATCAGTTTAAAGTACATCGTTAATTTTCACATTTATAAGAAAAAATGTATTTATTAAATAGATCTAGCATAGAAAAAGAAAACATAAGAAACGTTAATTTTGCCTTCGACGAGATTCGAACTCGTGACCCTAATAATATCAGCAAAAAACTGAAAAGACTAAATAGTCATAGAAGTCTTTAAATAGAGGGTAGGTATTTTTTCTTTCATATTAAATGCTTTAAATACAAAATATGTACCAACCGGGATTCGAACGCATTACTGACGTAATATAGATAAGTAGAATATACATATAATATAGAAAAATAATTAGTCTTTTGAGTCATTATTTATGAAAAATTAATATAATAAAGAACTGAGATTCTGTAATCACGCTTTCGAAAATTAAAAAAAAAATTAGCATGAAAATATTCTCTTCAAGTGCAAATTTTATGGCACTTAGTGCAATTTTAATATGGAATTCATTGATAATATACCAAAAACTCAAGAATTCAATTCATAAGTGTCCTCAAAAAAAGGTGCACAATTCGAAATTATACGTTTTTTTCAAAACTCTTTTGTTCATTGCTTTTATGATGGCAAAATTAAAACGCACGTTGTTTCGTTTAAAAAACTACTTTATGTGGTGTGCGTAAGTTAGAATTTGTGTTTAGACAATTAGAGCTTTGGATTTTTTAATTTTATCCTTTAGTTTGACTTAACGTCACTTGACGATGCCACTTTTTGAAGAGATACTTGTTAGGAAATGTGTATCTATGTTTTTATATATCAATGATTGAATTAGAATATTTCTTATAAATTATTCTTAAATATCGATATCAGATCTTAAAACCTTTTTACAGATAAAAAAAGCGTTTTGACGTGTTTGTTTTAAATTCATATAAAAAAACGTTTAAATTTTAATTTAAATAGCACTCGTATTATAAATGCCGCTATGAGAATTGAATATGTGAATTTTTGTATGCGTATGTTTGTTACTCTTAAACGCTGAAACAGCTGGACTGAATTGGATGAAGTTTAGTATATAGATAAGCTATGAGCCGGAGAAACATTCCTCCACCTCTCCACAATATTATCCATTGGTTTCAACAGGACCCCTTATATCTTAGGTGCCCTGAGCTGCAGCCCAAAAAGCCTATATATCCGTCTGAGCTATTTCCTTAATATTGGCCAAACTTCATCAAAATCTGTTCAGCGATTATAGCGTAAAAAGCCGAGAATCACAGTCATTTATAATGCATAGATTTTATATACTATTTCATTTGTTGCGAACTTCAGAGCGGTAGTTATACTATGTAGTGCTTTACAATAAATTTTATATAAAAAATCCCTTAATTTCTAAGTGAAGACCTATTTTAAATAGATTTGTTTCCATCAAACTCATCCTCTCAGTACTTACTTGTCTAAACAACCAATTTACTGAACGAGTGTTTTTTTACAGAATTATTGACTTTTAAATGTCAATTTTATTGGTATTAAATACACGTTTTACTTTTTTTTAAAGCCGAAAAGATGTGAAATGATTTTATTTATAAATGTATATATACATCTTAGAAATAAGTTTTTTTTTTAAATAGTGGAAAAAAATTCCACTGTAAAGTACAAGTATTGGTGGTTTGAACAAATAAGTACTGAGAGCGACGAAGTGCTTCAACCGAGCATGGTATTGACGACCATAGAGGTACTATTTAATTCTAATATTGTCTTATAAAATGCCATTACATTATTAAAAAAATTAAAATATCATTACCAAGAAATATCGTATCTCTTTTTCAGTGTTCTTATTAATATTATATAAATGTATGTTTGGATGTTTGTTGCCCAATCACTGGCAAATTGTTAAACCGATTTGGATAAAACTTAGCACAAAGACTAGATCATGTTTCTAATTATCATATAGGATATATTTAATCCCGATAATGCTTTCGTTTGGAAAAAACCTTTCAAAAAATTAAGTAGAGACATTTTTAGAATAAAAAATAATATGGTCATCAATACTTAAACACTGAAAAAAAATCTATTTAAAATATTCTAATCATCCAATTATTTATGTAAAATTCTAACAAACAAGATATGTCATTATAATGATAATATAATAGAAAGGGATTCGTACCCGCGATGCCGAATTACCGTAGATTTGCGGGTCTCGTCTCAGTCCGGGAAAATTAATGTCTGGTATTGGCGATTCTGTGTAAGAAAATGCTAAATTATTATTTAAATATTAATAATATGTTACTTTATTTAAATATTAGCTGTGCCCCGCGGTTTCACCCGCGTTAAATTTGATTACGTATTACATATAAATGTATAGAAGTCTGTCCGTTTTGTTGACAGGCTGTCTAATGTGAAAAAAAAAACGGATATAACGAACAAATATAATATTTCCTTACTATAAATAATATTTATTAATATTTTTTTAGTACACATATTGATACGATGGAAAAAGATGGCGGTAGTTTTTCTATGGATACCATACAATTAGATAATAAAATAATAAACAAATGACAAAGCTCACGGCCAGAAGCTGCATACAAAAACAGAATTTTCAATTATTAAAAAAACACGATTCGATGGCATAATTACTGAATAGTCAATACTCATGCTTAAAACAGGCATTTAAAAAAAATCATTATAGATGCAAAAGTACGTATTAATTACCGTTTTCGATGAAACACAGCATTCTTTAATTCATCATAAAAATAACATACTCCAATTTTCTTTTATTTAGTTTAAGTAAATTATTTATTTCCATAGCTGTACCATTTCTAGCCCTTGCCCTCCCTAAACCTAATTTAAACCCCCCTCCCTCCCCCAATCTCCCCCTCTGTATACATAACCAAATGCCAAAAAAATACATACATACCTCCCCCACCCCCAAAGGTTGCCCTCCCTAAACCTAATTTAAACCCCCCTCCCTCCCCCAATCTCCCCCTCTGTATACATAACCAAATGCCAAAAAAATACATACATACCTCCCCCACCCCCAAAGGTCTATACACAACATACCCCAAAATACGCCAGTACATTCATAATAATACTCCTAAACAACCCCCCCCCCATACCCCTCTGCATCTAACCTAGCCCTCCCTAAACACATACATACCTCCCCAACCCCCATACATACCTCATAACAGCGAACACCAACACGACCCCCATCACCAGGTCCACTTGTATGGCGGCAGCGCCCCCATAGCGCGCCTGCCCACACGCGGGCGGACACACGGGGATAATCGTTTCTAATTCGCAAAACAAATATGCATGCTATATTATGGATATAAAGAAAATAAAACTAGACAAGCCAATTAGTAACTAAATAAAAAAAATTAAGCCAACTTATTCGGTCTTTTTTTAACGTCCCACTGCTGGGGGTGGGCCTCCCTTTACTACAAGGGAATCAGTCCAACACGCTTCACATGTCTTTTGAAAACTTGCTAGGTTCTCTCAGACATACAGGTTTCCTCACGATGTTTTACTTCACCGTTAAGACAAGTGGTGATCATGTTGAAAATGATTCGCACATGAGAATCTCAGAGGATTTGAACCCGCTTCACTCGGTTTCTCAAGCGAGCGCGTTACCACTGGGCCACAACTGCCTCAATTAAATCAACAGCTATAGCTTAAAATGAAGCAACTTCTTGTTCGAAGTCCATCGTCCAAAAAGAAAAACTTAATTTAATATGAAAATTGATTCATAGATAGAAAAAATATCACATAACATGAACAAGTAGTAAAAACAAACATACAAATTGATAACTGCAAACTACTTTTAGTAAAAAAAAAACAACAAAATAGCCATTTCATGTTACATTTCATCAGTTTATACAAATTAACACTTCATTTTTTTTTAAATATTTAAATAATTAAGCAATAACAGAATGCCAATTGTATTTTTTATTATTAATTACTATTTTATTAATTACTTTTTTAAGCTACCCAGTCTCATATACAGCAGAGATCATATAGTCACTGATGTATATATTATTTGATTTTTTATATTTTAATTATTTATTATATTTAAACATATACTGAAGCCAATATAAAAACAAGAACTAAGAAAAAACTACGAAACATACCAGCATTTTATTAAAAAAAATCCAAGCAAACGATCTCATAACACAGATAGAAATAACATTCTTAAATAATTAAAATCTGTAAAAAACAACATCTCCGAATAACTAAAGCTAATACAGTAAAGCCACGGAGCAGAAAGAATTTCGTACAATTGTCCTCTTTGCCTACTGACAGTGGTTCACAAACATTTGTTTAGTAAGTGCGTGTTATATAAAATACTAGCGACTCACCCTCGCTTTGCTCGGGTTCGTCCTTAGCTTGCTTCTCAATTCAAACTTTCATCCGTATTTTCACCCCTTTAAGGGATGATTTCCGAGATAAAAAGTATCCTATGTCTTTTCTAGGGTCTGAAACTATCTTCTTACCAAATTTCATCTAAATCGGTTCAGTAGATCCAGAGATTACCCCCTACAACGTCACAAACTCACAAACTTGACCTCTTTATATTAGTATAGATATCTACTTTTACGAACGTATCTATCATGAAAGCGAAGCCGCGAACAAAAACTAGTATCTACACTATATAGTATAGTACATATAGTAATATGTACCTAGATAAAGTTTTGACAAAGCTTTGAGCTTAGCTTTTTTTTTAATTTCTTTACGAAAAGATATAAAAAATTGCATTGGTTTTTTGGCAAGACACGTATATAGATAAACTTAAAATGCAAAACCTAAAACTATCTAAACATAAAACTTGATCCAAATCGTTAGAGCCATTATCGGGATACACGAAAAAAAATTATATATATATACAGGATTTGGTCATTTAATATTATAAAATATATGAACATACCAAACAGTTCTACGTCTCCTTCGGCAGAGCCCAGCTTATTTTTCGCCTTGCAAGTGAACAGTCCGTACTGACGTTTCTCAATAGTTATCACTCTGAGGGTCGTGTCTGTGAACTCGTCTGCTGTTGCGAAGTGAGATATCCTGGAAACAAACAAAAGAACATATTAAATATAAATAAATAAATATATTGGGACATTAACACACGGCACCATCTAGTTCCATGGTGAGGTAGGAGGCTTGTGTTATGGATACCAGATAGTTGATACACTACACATATATAACTTTAAATACATATATACATAATATTAATATAAACACCCATGATTGGAGTACAAACACTCGTGTTCATCACACAAACGAATGTCCTCAGCGGGACTCGAACCCGAGACCGCTGGCACAGCAAGTGCTGCACTGGCACTTCAAACTGAGCCAAACGTGTCGTCAAATGTATGGATATTTGTTACTCTTTCCCGCAAAAACTACTGAATGGATTTTAATGAAACTTCACAATAATATAGCTCATACATCAAAATAACATATAGGCTACTTTTCATCCCGGAAAAATGTACGATTCCCGTGGGATAACTTGTTTTTGTTCTAGAGGCGAACCCGAGTTAATCAAAGGCAGTTCGCTATTAAAGACATACAAGTAAAATGTACTTACCTATAATGTTGATTGTTAGATAAAGCCACAGAATCTTTGACCCAGACGATGGCCGGTGGTGGATATGCTTCCACGTGACATTCCAAGTCCATATCGTACTGAAGGGCCTGGAAAGTAATATAATATTTAAATATAATTATTATCATCTATACTAATAATATAAAGAGGTAAAGTTTGTGAGTTTGTGAGGTTGTGGGGGATAATCTCTTGGATCTACTGAACCGATTTAGATGAAATTTTGTATGATATTTCAAGACCCTGGGAAGGACATAGGATACTTTTTATCCCGAATCATCCCTTAAGGGGGGTGAAATTGGAGATGAACGTTTGTATGTGTGTATGTTTATTACTGAGCCTTCACGTTAAATTGGATCGACGGATTTAGATTATACACTTTGAGTAATCTATATACATTACAAAGTTCTTGGTTCGATTATAGGGGGATCAAAATATACTCACTTGACCCAAGCGTGGGCGTGGGACTGTCACAACTGGTGCAAATTCAACCTCCAAGTTAATGTTCCTGCGGGCACCTTTGCCCACACCATTCTCCGCTACACAGTAATATGTGCCTCTATCTTCTTTGTGTACAGCTGTGATCTTTAGGATGTTTCCGCTGAAAATGAATGATATTTATTAGTTATTTCCTTTTGGATATATTATAATAGCCCAGTAGTAACGCATTCTCTTGGGAATCCGAGTGAAGCGGGTTCAAATCCCGGGTCTCACACTTCTGATATTTTCATGTACGAATCATTTCCAACATGACTGCCACTTGTCTTACGGTGAAGGAAAACATCGTAGGGAAACCTGCATGTCTGAGAGAATATAGCAAGTATTAGAAAGACACCTTCAATCCGCCCACACTTGGTCTGATCCCCCTTGTTCTGATGGAAGACCCATACCCAGCAGTGGGATGTTAAAAATGGTCTGAATACAAAATTATAATATCGTCATAATCGATTCCGGAATGGGATAATATCTTTGGTATATGTTACAAATCGACTTCCTTCGTTGCATACTACATACATAGATTTCATCCCGTATATCACAACTCTCTGTTTATAAAAGGAATGTAGCTAACTTTATCATGTCGCGTTTAGGCTGTCGGTGTGCGCGCGCATCATAAAAATTTTACTCTCATAATTTTTTTCAAACGTCCCAAAAGGAGTATAACTTCAAAAATATTTGTGCCACACATACACACACTAATAATTCTCAAAAATATCCAACACAAATGAACTAAAAATTTTAAAACAGCAAAAAAACCAGCATCCATACATTAAGTTTAAGGCTAGTCGATGTATATATGATTTTAAAAAAAATACCGATATATGGATCCACCGGTGGGCAAAATGGCATTGTTTTCACGACGCCAAGAGACCTTTGGTGGGGGGAATCCCCCGGCATAGCATTCCATTTGAGCACCTTTAAAAAAAAACATTTTTAAAGTAAAATCGTCAATCTGACTAAGGAATAATACATATATATTATATACAGAGTATCATAGAACTAAACATGAAGCCAATTATGTTTTAAAGTAGTATTATAAATGACAATTTATATACTGAATGATAAGTAAATAAACGTTAATAAATAATATTAGCTAACGGATTTTATTATAAACTAGGTTGATTCCCCATACAAACTTTCATCCCCACTTTCACCCCCTTATGGGATTATTTCCGAGATAAAAACTATCCTATATTCTTCCCAGGATCTCAAACTGTCTTCTTATCAAATTTCATCTAAATCAGTTCAGTAGTTTCGGATCCTATTCTGTACAACAAACAAAAACTCAAATCTTTCCTCTTTATATTAGTATAGATATTAAAAAAAATCCTACAGAGAACTAATACTTTAAAAAAACGATAGAATAAATATTATTAGCGGCAATAGAAACACATTCTGTGAAAATTTCAACTATCTACCTATAACAGTTCATGAGATAGAGCCCGCTGATAGACAGATGGAAGGACAGCGGAGGCTTAGTAATAGGTTTCCATTGACACCCTTTGGGTACGGAACCCCAAAAATAGGAATTAGAACTCACTCTCTCCTTCACTAGCCACAATAGAACGTGTGGAGTTATCGGATATGATTGGTGGTCTTCGCACTTGCAGTTCCACTTCAGCTGTTATTTTGTTGCTGACAGATATCAGCACTTGGCACTGATACCATCCAGCATCTGTTTCTTGGATATCTTTGATCTGGAATAAAAAAAAAGAATTATATATCTATACAGATAAATAAAATTGAAATGTCTGTTTGTAATGTCAAAATAACAGCGTTTTACTAAATGCATATGAAATTATAAACGGTACTTAATATTAGGAAAATTTAATACAAATAAAAACTTGTGTACTGAACTATCATACACTAGTGCTACTACTTCAGATCTTTAGACAGTATGTGGTAATTATTATTTCAAAATAGCCACATAACATACAAATAACACAACCCTCTTTTATGAAATCGGTTAAAATAATTAGTTGAGATGAAAAACGACAAAAAAAAAAGAAAAACGAACAAAACAAAGCAACGAACTTCTTAAGGTGAGCGTCAATTATCTTTATTAGACTCAATTCCACCGACTTTGAAGATTAATTGGCTTATATTACTAGTACTTTAAAATGTTTTAAATACATTAAAATGATTCCGGGTTTGATTCCTGATTTAATTAATCTATAAAGTGAAAGTGTCTGTTTGTAATGACAAAATGTACTGTAATTATAAGGAAAACAAAACAATTTTTTTAATTTTTGTCAGTCTGTTTGTTCCGGTTAATCTACGAAACGGCTGGACTGATTTTGACGGGATATTCACTGGCAGATATCTGATGTTATAAGGAATAACTCAAGATATTTTTATTTATAAAAAATAATTAGGGTAAGTTGATAGTCCTTACTAAGAAAATTGAAAATAATCTCGATTTTAAACTGTCGACTGTCGACCTTTATTATTTAAGTAGTCAATATCCCCTTCCATAGCGTTGGAATTTCTTTATTATTCATCTATATCTATACTTCTATACTAATATTATAAAGAGTTAAAGTTTGTGAGTTTTTGAATTGTGACTTGTGACGTTGTAGGGGGCAATCTCTAGATCTACTGAACCGATTTAAATGAAATTTGTCAAGAAGATAGTTTGAGACCCTGGGAAGGATATAGGATACTTTTTATCCCGTAAATCACCCCTTAAAGGGGTGAAAATTGCGATAAAAGCTTGTATGGGGAATCAAGCTAGGGACGAACTCGAGCGAAGCGAGGATGAGTCGCTAGTATTTTTATAAATGCGAAAGTTTGTATGTATGTGTGTGTGTTCACGTTGAAATGACTGGACCGATTTGAATGAAATTTAGTACAAAAATAAAGATGGTGGTATAATAAATAGGCTGTTGTTAGGTTACTCCAGCGAAGGTAAGTCGCAAGATGGATATCTAGTTCATAGTCCAAGAAAATTATGCAATAAAATAGCAAAAACATTGAATACTTCTTTAGATTTACACGAATATTTGACATCTATACTAATATTATAAAGAAGTAAAGTTTGTGAGTTTATGACGATGTAGAGGCTAATCTCTAGATCTACTGAACCGATTTAGATGAAATTTGATGAGAAGATAGTTTGGGATCCTGGGAAGAACATAGGATACTTTTTATCCCCGGAATAATCCCTTAAGGGGGTGAAAATGGGGATGAAAGTGTATATTGGGAAGCAAGCAAGGGACGAACCCGAGCAAAGCGAGGGTGAGTCACTAGTTTTAAATAAAACTATCTTTTCGGATTTTTTCGGAAATTAATTTTGATTTGACGTTTCGAATGCTTTGGAACAATCATGGTCACGGGAGACAACGTCAAATCAAAATAAATTTGGGGAAAAATTCCGAAAAGATAGTTGTTATTTAGAACATTTTAAGAAGAATTTAATTAAAGTAAATAATGGAATGAAAAAGGTTATCATAGGTCTTGTGTCGCTCCCCCCCCCCCCCCGACGTGCGTTCACCTTGTCGTGGTGGGGGGGCTCAGTAGTGTACTCGCGAAGCCAAGAAACGCACAGGGAGGTGGCCCGCTTCGGTGGGCGGTGGGAGGCGGCCTTCTTCGGAGGGCGGTGTACCATGCGGGTTGCTCCTGGTACTTCTCTGATAGCAGAGTGGACCGTGGAGCAACCCCATGGTTGTTGTGGTCTGCTTCGGCAGACCTGCCGTCGGGGCGTCGTAGTTGAATGCGTAAGCGATCCTACGACGCCCCATTAAGACGGGGGAAGGTTTTGTTGGGTTTTAGTGGGTAGTACTGGCTTCGCCGGTGAGTCCCACACTTCGTGCGTAAATGCATTTCCCAACGTTAAAAAAAAAAAAAAAAGGTCTTGTGTCGCTAACTCGGAATTGTTTACGCAATACACTAGCAAACAAATTAAGTTTGACGACAGTTTAGCTTTATAAAAATTTTCCTGTAGCTTTATCTATCTATACATATAATAAAAATGTAACTAAGCCGAATCTGTTCATTAAATATTTTTTTGAAAATCTTATTGAAATAAACATTATTATCGATACAGAGGCCGCATCTATAGTTTTTAGAATATTTGTTTCTGTCTGTTACCGCATCACGAAAAAACCACGAGACAGATTTTGATGAAATTTGGGATGATGATAGCTGGTTATTTGAGTCAACATATAGGATACTTTTTACTGCGGAAAAATATTTCATCTGAGCTATACGTTAAAACATAACTAGGGACGAACCCGAGCGGAACGAGGGTGAGTCGCTAGTTTTACATAAATTAAAAATCGGATAAGTACGTAACACAGACACACTATCCTACTTTTACGTTTACAACATTTAGCGTCTAATCTCATTCAAAGTTATCCCACATGCCTATAAATTTAAATTAAATAAATAATATTAATAATAATAAATAATACTTTGGGACATTAACACACAGCACCATCTAGTTCCATGGTAAGCTACGAGACTTGTGTTATGGATACCAGATAGTTGATACACTACACATACATAACTTTAAATACATACATATTTTAAATATATAATTTAAATGCCTGTTAAATATTAATTAAATAATTAACTAAAAGATAGCTCATGGCGCGTCACATGAGACCTGCTTTCCATAGTTCTATAGTACCAACAGTTTCCAAGTGAAATGGCTGTGACATAAGGACAGACGGACGTAACGAAAATTAAAGGGTTCGATATTTGCCTTTACGGAACCCTAAAATTTTTGAAGTAACTATATTAGATCTCTTACTTCACAGTGTACAAAATTTTGTACATATTTTTTTTATTACGTAAAAAATATATTATAAAGGAGTTTCCCTAGAAAGTAAAGACATAAATATGTAAATTAAATATTATTTTTAATATTATTTATAAGTAAAAGAAATAAATTAAGATAGATACTTACTGAAAGAGTATAAGTTGCGGATGCTGCGTCGAATCTTAGCGAAAATCTTGAATCGCGTATAATCAAACCAGAGTTGGAGGAAAGCGGGAGTATCTCTTGAGATCTTAGACGGTCATGTTTGAGCTAAAAAGGAAAAAAACAGCAATAATTAACAATAATACATAGTGTATATATATATATATATATATATATATATATATATATATATAACAAAGTCGCTGTCTGCGTCTGTCTGTTTCTCCGCTTATTTCGTCTAAACCACGCAATGGATTTTGATACGGTTTTCACTATTAGAAAGATCGAGAAACGAGTAAGATTTGTGTAAGTATATAATTTATAAATATTTTGTACAAAATGGTTGAGCCTAGACGGTGTTTGTCAAAAAAACCGTTTTCGTACGATTCCATGACTAACGCTGGCTAAACCTTAACTCAAAAATGTACTAGAAAATTGTAGATCTTAAAAATGGCCTACAGAAAATTCTGCGATAGCATGTGTCTATCTCCTAAGGTACGCCACAATAAATACGTTTTTTTATCTATATAAAACGTACCTACGGACATAAGTCTACGGTAACCATTAGTTTATCTATACTAATACTGATATACTTGTAAAAAGGTAAAGTTTGTGAGATTGTGAGTTTGTGACGTTGTAGGGGGTAATCTCTGGATCTACTGAACCGATTTGGATGAAATTTCGTAAGAAGATCGTTTGAGACCCTGGAAAGGACATAAGATACTTTTTATCCCGGAAATCATCCCTTAAGGGGGTGAAAATGAGGATGAAATATATGTACATTGTACATATATGTAAATAACGTGCAAGTGTTTGCCAGTCTTTGTACTTTAGTACCTACTTCGTCTGTTATTGCTACATTCACAAAGGTCTTGATGTTAGATAGCCTACAACCTCAATAAATGGGTTATTATAAAAACAAAATATTTTTATCAATTTAGCAATAAAACAACAAATTCATAAGCTTTTATACTAAATAATATGTTAGTATGTGTATTCAGCTCATTTTAACGTCCCACTGCTGGGCACGGGTCTCCAATGAACATGAGGGGAATCAGGCCATAGTCCACCACGCTGGCCAAGTGCTGATGGACTAATATCTTTCGAGCTAGGTTCCTCAGACATGCAGGTTTCCTCAGAATGTTTTCACCGTAAGACAAGTGGTGATTATGTTGTAAATGATTTACACATGAGAATATCAGACATGCGAGACCAGGATTTGAAGTCGTTTCATTTGGTTTCCCAAGAGAACACACACACACACACACACACACAATTTTTGTTTCTGTAAACACCCCTTGATACTGGACAAACTTTGACCGGATGTTATTTAGCTTTTTTAACTTCCTTTATCTAATAAGTCAATAGGTACACCATATAAATGAGATGGTATGGGGGCCATGACGAACAGACGAACAAAGACCATGGGGTCATTGATCATCGATTCCTTATAAAGATTTAGTTTACTATTACATATTTCGATTCATGTATGACTTCAATTCAACTTGTGTTGTGTGTGGCTTACTGAAGCAATCAGCTATTATTATGGAGAAATGTTACGAAAATAAGCTACCGATGTGATGATATTTTGTATTAAGTCGGCAAAAAATATTGTATGTCAGTAATAAGCTATACATAAAATAATATTGTAACTAAGCCGAATCTGTACATTAAATATTTTTTGGAAAATCTTATTGAAATAGACATTATTATCGATACAGAGGCCGAATCTAAAGTTTTAAGAATTTTTGTCTGTCTGTCTGTTACTGCATCACAGTATGTAATATATAGTATGTAAAACCTAGGAATTTGGTTTTTGAACATCTTGACGCGGGCAGAGCCGCGGGCAATGCTAGTTTAAAATAATTTTGTAGTTGATCGAAATAAATGCGCCATTGGTGATTATAACTTTTTTAGAACATTTTTTTTTCTTTTGTTATTTTAACTTAGTAAGTTAGTTATTAAGTTACGAGACATCAAAACTATTGGTGTCTTATACAGTTTTATATCAAATTATTATATGATTTACTTACCCAAAGCACGGGGTACTCGTTTGCATAATGCACAGAACAGTCCAAATCAACTTGCCCTCCAATATCTCTAATTTGTTGTTGAGTTATGTGGGAAATCGTAGGCGTACGTTGTCCATTGGCTGAAAAAATGTATCAGAATTTAGACAAAAATATTCTATTTATCTATGACGGACAGACAGATATGTTAGAGTGGGTTTGTTACCTCTTCACGCTGTAACAACCCAAAGGATTTGAATGAAACTTGCAAAGAATATAACCTCATAAAACTTTTATTTCAATGTACAAGCGGCTCAAACTCGCAAAACATAAACAAATCTATCCCACGGGAAATATACATTTTTCTGAGATAAAAAGTAGCTTATGTGTTATTCTGATGTATGAGCTATATTATTGTAAAGTTTCATTAAAATGCATTTAGTACTTTTAGCGTGAAAGAGTAACAAACATCCAAACATCTATATACATCCAGACATCCTTACATCCTAACAAACATTCGCATTTACATATAATATTAGTATATTATATTTTTGTATAATTATAATATTTAGTTAATATATTTTAATATTAAGTCAATTCTATTTACTGCTGTACTGTACTTACACTGTACTAAATTAACTTATTTTCTCACTTCCGAAGGGTTTCTGAGATATCTCTTAAAGAGATAAGTTATCCTTTGTCAACATTTTGTTACTTTATTTTGTATAACATGTACTTTATGGTACATAAATAAATAAATAAAATAAATTAAAATAGTATACAAGTGAGAGGCGCCACGGGGAAAAACTAGCAAGATATTAACAAAATTTGCATTTATCTGTACAAGAAATTCATAGAAAAAATATGGATCGTTGAGTGTTCGAAAAAACCATATCCGCTCTCCAAATAATAATAGTGTATTCATAGAACCTACAAAAAACCCATGCAACTGGTATATATAAAAAATGGACATTAAATAAAACCATGATAACTGTACAATGTATATACTCTTTTTATACTAATATTTTACTTCTCTTTGTGTGTCTCTGTGAAAACTTCACTGATAAAAGAATTGAGATCTAAATGAGTGCCAAGTTCTGTAGATAATCCTCAAAAAAATTTCATAAGAAAATACAACATTCTTAAATAAATTTAAAACACAATTTCTTGTTGATTCTGCTACAAAATTGTTTGCTTTTTAAAGGACAAATTGAAGTTCTAGATTTGACTTGGCTAGTTTTTACCAGTAAAGCAAGTTTTTAGAAGAGTAAGACACATTGACCCTAAATAAAAAAACAGTACTAGTTACTGTTTTTTTATTTAGGGTCAATACCATAAAGAAGATAAACATATTATTTTTAAATTTATTTAAAGTAAAAATTATTTTGAACTTCAAAGTTGGCCATTGGTTTCGTAATATAAAAGTATAATATTTACAACATTAAATTTGACTTTTATTATTATTTACTTAACTAATATGTATGTCATATATAATAAATATAATAAATGTGAAAGTTTGTAAGTATGTACAGATGTTTGTTACACTTTCACACCAGAACGGCTGAATGGATCTGGATGAAATTTGGCACAAAGATAGATTATAGTCTGGAAAACCACATAGGCTACTTTTTATCCCGGAAAAATTTACGGTTCCCAAGGGATAGATATGATTTTGTTTTGCGAACCCGAGCGAAGCTAGTGTGAGCCGCTAGTAAACATTTATAAGTACACTGGTTTTTTTTTATTTACGTACCACGCGAGGGGACCCGAATATATAATAGCATACCATAAATTAAGTTAAATACTGCAATAAAGCAAATAGATTTTATCGCGTAATTACATATATTATAAAACAAATGGCTTTCGAGGGTAAGTTTGTACTATCATGTTACTATCGGTTTTGAAAATCACCCCTTCTTCCGGCTTCTGTGCAATGATGCGCGAAATCGATCGATATTAATATAGGTAGGTACTTAAGTTCCCGATCAATTAGCCATCTTTAAATTTTAAATGTTGAAAAAGATTTTTTTTAAAATCGCAATTCGCAATGTATCGCGTTTTATTGGAATACGTTACTAATACTATGTAGATAAGAGTAAAATTTATTATTAAAAATTAAAATATTTAGTTCCAACGAAATTTTAGATATAAACTAGGAAAATTGTCATGAATTTACATTAATATAACGGTGTATTCTTTTGAAAATAATAAATAGGGTGTGTCGTACTTCGTCACAAGTAGTAAACACTAACAATTGAAACAAGCGTTCCTATAAGACAACGAATCCATATTTTTATGTATTTCAATGTCACTCTATTCTATTTAATACAAAAAGTTACTTACCAACACACGATATACAGAGTATTAGTAGAAAATATTCAAAATTGTAAAAAGCCATTATAACCGACGCTATCACAATTCACAACACCACACGGCACACCTCACCGAGTCAACGCAAAACTTTTAAGTTTTAACTTACGTTAACACTCAGTGTTGCCAGTGGGCAGTGCCAACACTTGAAATTTTATCCCCCTAAAGAGTAATTCCAAAAACCCTTAACACAAGGAGTGTTAGGGCAAACTGACAATTTGCAAAATTTAGGATTTTATCTTTTTTTTTTTATTTTAAATGTTTACAAATAGTGGAAAAAACTTATTTATAGTTATTATTATAATAATGACATATAACCATTTAATAATAGTAATACATTTTATAGATAACTTAAAAAATATTAAAAAAAGAATAAATTATACAAATGATATTTAAAGATATATAGTTTTTGCAATACTTTAAGCGAAACTTTATAAACTCCTAAAAATTCCTAAATAATTTCCCCCCCTAAAATATCCCCGGTACCATTTTTTTACCCCTCAATTTGGGGGGAAATCCCCTAAGTTGGCTACACTGAATCACACTTCACAGTGAACAGTCAGTAGTCACAGATTAAATATGACGCCAATGGACATTAGACATTTATCTGTCAACATTAAACAATGTTGTCAGCTAGGACGATGTTGTGTCCGTACATCGTCGATTGTCAGTCACCACATACCTCATGACGAAATCGAAACTGAAATTGCTATTAAAATATTCACTAAGTTTTTTTCGATCAGTTAAATAATATACTAAGTAGATATTGTGTTAATCCATACTCTGCCAAAATATTTTATTCATAAGTACATAACTACATAATATGTACCTCTGAATTAAAATATTATGTACTATTTATAAAATTATGCTTAAATCGTGGTAACCACTCCTAAAATAAGATAAAAATGCGCCATCTATGAATACGTAGTACTGCCCACCTGAGCCTAAAGTGCAGTAATAGACATTTTGGTCGGTTTTGAGTTAAATATATATTCTAAATCCCCATTTTAGTAGCTATCAGTCAAATTAATTCTTTTTTCTGTAGCGCTAATAAAAGTATTTTATTTTAATGTTTTTTCGGAAGGTGTAACAGCAAAAATATCACAAATCTGTTAAAATATTCCATGTTTACCAGCTAAACCGCAGTACAATTAATACTGCACAAGATTTTTCTCTGTTTCCTAACTAAACTGCAGTGTTTTATTATATTTTGTGGCACTTAAAATAGTAGTTTGTTCTAGGAGATTCAAGAAAAAACTTATTAAAATGCAGTATTATTCGACTCTATACAAATTGATTATACTGCAAAGGTTAAGAAAAAATATTTTTTATTTATATTCCAAATTAAAGTGCAGTATTAACATTCCATACTGCACATTAACTTGTGGGGGATTTTGTAATTTCTTGTGAAAAACTAAAAGACATGCAGTATTTAATAACTTTACTGCAGTTTAACTTGTAGGATGTTTTGTAGTTACTTGTAAAAGACCATTTAGTTTACAATATTTATAAATTTTACTGCATATTAGTTAGTTTGCTTCATCCAATTCATACTACCTAAAATACTTAAAGTCAAATACTATTCCCTAATACTGCGTTTTAATAGGTAAAATTATTAAAATATTAAAACACAGGACAGGCAATATCGCGGTTTGAGGCAGTCTCCTTAATCTGTGGCTTAAGGCTGACTTGACGTGCCATGCTGTGTCTGTACCAAAGAGATATGGAGGATAGAACTAAGGAGAACTATTTCTCGTATAAAAAGTGACCGCTGACAAGCATTAAATTGGTGGCGCCACAGAAAACAAGTATATGAATCTATACATCTATACAGATAAATAAAATTGTAGTGTCTGTTTGTTATGTCAAAATAAACCTTTTTACTAAATGCATATGAAATTATATACGGTACTTATAAGAAAAACTAATTTTTAAAACTTTTTGTGTCTGTTTGTTCCGAATAATCTCTGAAACGGCTGGACTGATTTTGACGGACTTTCAGTGGAAGGTAACTGATGTTATAGGGAGTAATATAGGTTACTTTTTTTTAAAAAAGAAGGATAAGAGTTCCGCTCAAAAAAAAGTATCCAGGGACGAACCCGAGTGAGGCGAGGGTGAGTCGCTAGTTTAAAACATAACGTCATAAAAGTAAGAAGGTGAATTAAACAAGGAAAGAAAGATTTCCGCTTTGCTGTGGCGCACTTTTCTAAATAGTTCTAGCATAGGCAAACAGCAATATCTTCTTCTTCCTGCCCATTTCCCAAGTCATTTGGGGTCGGCGCAGTAAGTCTTCCTCTTCCATTCTCCCCTATTACTCGTCATCTCATCATTCACCCCTTTCTCTTTCATGTCTTGTCTCACACAATCTATCCATCTTTTCTTCGGTCTTCCTCTACCTTTCCATCCATCTACATTCATTTCCATCACTCTTCTCGTCACATGCGTTTCATCCCTCCGCTTCACATGCCCATACCAACTAAGACGATTCCCTTTCAACTTCTCTGTCACTGGTGCTACTTTTAAGCTTCCTCTTATGTACTCATTCCTTATTTTATCCATCCTCGTCACTCCACACATCCACCTTAACATTCTCATCTCAGCAGCATGCAATCTTCTTTCATCAGTCTTCTTTGTAGCCCAGCATTGCGATCCATACATAACGACAGGTCTTATTACGGATTTATAGATCTTACCCTTCAACTTAAGGGGCATCCGCTTATCGCAAGTTATCGCTGTGACCTGTCGCCATTTCATCCACCCAGAGTTGATCCGACGCGTAATGTCTCGGTCAATATTACCATCACCTTGTACAAGAGATCCAAGATACCGAAAGTCAGTGCATATTGGTAAGGGTGTTCCCGAAAGGGTTATGGGCACAAGACTGGAGAGACCACCAAAGTCGCAGAAAAGGTATTCTGTTTTACTTCTGCTGACTCTCAAGCCAACACTCTCCAGTCTTTGTCGCCATTCTTCCAATCTGTTCTGAACATCTAGACTATTCTCGGACGCTAGCACAATGTCGTCGGCGAACAGCATGCACCAGGGGGCTTCTTCTTGTATGTCTGATGTTAAGGCGTCCAATACCATCAAGAAGAGGTACGGGCTAAGGGCAGACCCCTGGTGTAAACCTACAGCCACATTGAAGCTAGTAGTGGTGCCAGCTGTGGACCGGACTTGTGTACTGCATCGATTGTACATCGCTCGGATCAACTTCACGTACTTTTCAGGCACACATTTCTCTCTAAGGGCCCACCACAAAACTTCACGGGGTACCCGGTCATATGCCTTCTCCAGATCAATAAAGACCATGTGCAAATTCTTGTGTGCACTTCTGTACTTTTCGCATAGCTGGCGGATTGCAAAAATGGCATCAGTTGTTCCCCGACTGGGCATAAATCCGAACTGGTTTTGTGAAATTTCACTCTCTTCTCTTAGTCTTCGCTCAATCACTTTTTCCCAAGCTTTCATACTATGTGAAATTAGCTTTATTCCTCTATAGTTGTTGCACTCCAGCACATCACCTTTATTTTTAAAAATGGGCACCAATGAACTGTTGCACCATTCGTCCGGTATGACTTCATCTTGCAACAACTTATTGAAGAATAAGGCTAGCCACTTCCATCCATCCTCTCGCAATAACTTCCATGCTTCTATTGGTATTTCATCCGGCCCCACCGCCTTTTCGTTCTTCATTCCACTTATTACTCCTTTCACTTCATCCATACTAATCGCTCTGACTAATCCTATATTTTCAGCCTTTTTGTCAAGCCTTCCACTCCATTCGTTCTCCTCATTCATAAGCCTTTCAAATAGTCCTTCCATCTATCTTTAATTTTAGCATTATCTGAGAGTACCTTACCTGCTTCATTCTTCACACACTTCATTCGCGAAATATCCCTCGTCTCTCTTTCTCTTGACTTAGTGAGCCGATAAAGGTGTTTTTGGCCGGCCGGAGTATCTAAGTTGTTATATAACTTATTTTGTTCTATTGCTCTTGCTTTGGCAACTGCTTTTTTAGCATTTTTCTTCCATACATCATATTCTTCCTTCTTTGCCGCTTTCAAACTTAAATTCCGTTCATCAACATTTTGCCACTCTTTAAATTTTGACTTCTTTTCTTTCAATACACTTTGTACTTCTTCTGACCACCACCATGTGTCCTTATCTATCACTCTTTTTCCTTTAGACTTACCCAAAATCTCTTTTGCTGCATTTCTGATACACCCTGCCATTTCATTCCAACATTCGTTCACTTCTCGTCCTTTCATATCTCCCATTTCTATCATTTTATCAACCACTCTTTCTCTAAATTTTTCTGCACACTCATTCTTCTCTAACATATACCACTTTATTGTAGGTGTGTGACGTTCCTTCTGTTTATTTAATTTTATCTTTAAGATCACTTCCATTATCAGGGGTCTGTGTTGTGAGACCAAGGCTTCCCCTGGTAGAACCTTGCAATCTTTAACTTGGTTTAGGCGATTGCGCTTGACCAGGAAGTAATCTATCTGTGTTGTGTGTGGGCCACTTTTATAAGTAATAAGGTGTCCATCTTTTTTCTGGAACCACGTATTTGCAACTGCCAGGTTGTATGCAGTAGCAGCTTGCAGAAGGGTTTCACCTTCGTAATTTTGCAACCCAAATCCCCATCCTCCATGCACTCTTTCATAACTTCCTCTCACTCTTCCCACATGTCCATTAAAATCTCCTCCTACATAAAACTCCTCTTGCACCGGGATAGTCATAATTATTTCATCAAAATCCTTCCAAAACTTCTCTTTTTCCCTATCATCACATCCTATCTGTGGAGCATAGGCACTAATAACATTCATCACCGTATTCTCCAGCAATATCTTAACTAATATTAACCTGTCATTCAACCTTTTGACTTCCATCACACCTTCTTTCAAATTACTATCTAGTACTATTCCTACACCATTCTTTATTCCATTGCTACCGCAATAGAAAAATTTGTATCCCTCTCCAATCTCTCTAGCTTTTGTTCCTTTCCACTTCGTCTCTTGCAGA